TCTTTAAAAATTCTCCATAAAAATTCGGGCAAACTTTCAACTGCCCCCCCCCCAGAAAACTTTGAAGCCTCGCATGATGCACAGAGAGCCCAAGCGTTGATCTGTGTTTTAATTGAATTATTTCACTACATTACACTAATATGTCATATAATGATAATAATACTCCTATAGTCGAACATATAATAACAACATAAAGTTGATTTGTATTTGTATGGCTTGTATGTTTTTCAGTTTATTTAAGATCTATTATTAGGGTGATCGCTAGATAGTATACTTCAAAATAAGGTTTCTGTTTTTATAACGTAGAAAAAACTATCCTAACGCAAAACTAAACCATAACCCTAATACTAACCCTCACCCTTTAAACCCTAACCTAAACCCTAACCCTAACTTATTTTAATTATCTTAAAAATTGATATAAAAACGGAAACCTTATTTTGAAGTATACTATCTAGCAATTGCCCTATTATTAGCTTATATAAAAGCACCAAATCCAGCGCGTCTCCCACGTGCGTATCCTGCGAACGGGCTGTCAGGTTCGAAAGGCGGTGCTTTTATACAAGCCATACAAATACAAATCAACTTTATGTTGTTATTAGGCCACATAAAAAAAATTACTTGTTTAGCGTCACCGCCCGACCTGATAAAAGTCCCCGACCTCCAATTTTTTTTTTTTTTTTTTAAATTTTTTCCGAGTTTAGTGGAAAAACTCTCTATAAAAAAGACCGTTTTACTTGAAAAAATGGTGATTTTATTCTTCTGGGAGCTATGTAATACGTTTACACAAAGTTTCCTTCCCAGAATATGCCTGTTCGCAGCTAACGTGTTCGCGCGTGACCGCCAAACGGTAATTTTCTGTTTTATTAAAAACATGAACGGGAAGTTAAAAAACATGAACGGATTTTGAAAGAATTAAAGTGAGTTTTGGCTGTGGTAATATACTGGATTTCCTGCATTTAGCAGAATTTTGTGTTGCATTTTACAAAAAAAAAAAAAAAAAATCCGTCCGCCCGACCTAGAAAAATTAAAATGGGTGGACGCTAAACAAGTAATTTTTTTTTATGTGGCCTTATATGTTCGACCACGGTTAATAGAATTCTATTAACCGTGGTTCGACTATATGAATATTATTATCATTATATGACATATTAGTGTAATGTAGTGAAATAATTCAATTAAAACACAGATCAACGCTTGGGCTCCCTGTGTTTAAATCTTTTGAAGAAGTGTTTTGGGGAGACAATAAAATTTTATAGCATTGATATAAAGAAGATGGTATAGAGACAGTGGCGTAGCCAGCGTAAAACGGGCGTGAGCCATTTTAGGGGAGGTCTGGGGGCATGCCCCCCCCCAGAATATTTTGAAATCTAGGGTCCCTGAAATGCGATTTCCTGCATTTTCGGGGTGTGAGTTTGCATAAGTCCGAAGACTGTATAATGCATAAAAGACATGATTTTTCGTGATGGAAAATGATGGGTTAAAATAATGCAAATTACTTTTAAAACCGAATGATTGAAAGTAACTATATTTTACATTTAAAAACCTAAAGTAAACCCTTTCTTCTTGGGGCCATATCTACTTACTTAGACAAGGTTATACACAATAGCGTTGTCCGCAGTAGCTAAAAATAGATTCTCTAAGTGAAGACCCCCCACGAGACTCAGACAAACAAACTAACATTTTGTATAGAATTGTACTAGCAGCGAACATAAATTGGTCTAAATTGACGTTTTTATTTATTTTATCTGTGCTAAAACGAATTCAAATTTATCCCAAATTACAAACATGGTTAATGCTAAGCACTGTTGCTGGGGAACATGTCCAAGTGATTCGAGATACTAAGAAAAACTGCCGAAACAGGGAATTGAAAAGTCGGACGGGACGGGAATGCTGCAGTAGCAATGTGTTGATTGTTATTGACTGCGGACTATGCTGGTTTTTCTCCAAGAACTCTCGCAGCTAACCATTTCCCCCCGTCAATACATCCAGCGAATGATGCTTTCCCGAACTCGCTGAAGAAGAACTTGGCGTTTTATACCGGCGCTTTGCTATAATACCGCTTACTTGGCGTTTTATTCCGCTTTGCTTTGTTTAATCGACAGTATAAGCTGATGGATCATGCTCAAAATATGAGTCTGGGACGCCATCGTTTTCAGTGAGAGCGTCTGTTGTTAAATTTATGACTGAGAGAGAAGCAATAGTTTACCAGACAGTGTTAGGCTATTAATTAACACAGTGTTAAAGAGAGGTTCTCTATTTTTAATACAAAACTGAATATTTAAAAATAGATAAATAAAAATGTTGTTTTTATAATAACATATTTTTGTTGTATTGTCAAAACAAAATAGTTTTACTGGTCAACGGAAGATTTTATATTTGAGATTTTATATAGTTTGTAGTTTATCTTTGACATTTTTTAAAAAAGTTTAAATTTGAAAGTATTAGTTTTAATTACATTCCTAATAAATCCGTATTTTATAAGTTGAATATGTAGTCAATAGATTATAGTAAACAATCCTAGCTTCTTTGGCTTTGGACTTTGCTATTAATTATAGAGATGTCTAAAGTAATAAAATAATGTACACTAAAGCGAGTATTAAAATCCATATAAGTTAGTATAAACATGAAATCAACAACATTAAATAGGGAACTTTAGAACTGATTCGCTAGGGCTACGAATTAAATCTGGTACGACTACGAGATTTTTTCGGTTAAATATCTGCTACTACAGACTTTCTATTGCCCTTTCTTTTGCATACCCTTTCTTTATGGCCTCTTTTATAGCAACAGTCACGCCAAACCATGTACTATTATAATACAGTAGACACCGCTTATGATAGAAACGACGACAGTCGATACTAAAGTGACGAAAAAGTGTATATTTCTACTTCCAAAGCAAAAATATTTTGCACTGGCACTTCAGGTAAAGCGAAAAGTACAAGGTGTGTATGATTTCGCACAAATAAACCGTAAACAAACATCAAACTATCAAACTAACTCACAGGAAGCTCTCAATCATAATACTATTTATATTAAATGTTGCCAATGTTTGTCTGAGTCTTCGCGGGGGGTCGAATTTTCGTGACGTCAATTGCGGACAACGCTATTATATTGTGGATTTGGATTTTTATTTCACCTCCCCCCCTGTTGGCTAAGTCCTGTCCAGCATCTCCAAGTTGAAGGTCCTGTCTACGCTCCTGGTTGTAAAGAGCACACAAAAGAATAGGATGGGAAGAACTACCATACGGCCATACTATGATCTTCTTAACTTTAATGTTGGAGGGGGGTGAAAATTTTCAGACTGTTCTAAAGGCGTGGACTACATTTTTAAACACATTAAAAGGGAGGGTCATTTTTATAATGCTGTTTGATGAACCCTAAGTATTTTATATTTCCCGATGTACAATTGACGTATTAAATTTGCAAAACACATACACTACAGACGTATAAACATGGCAAACATGCACTTTCATGTTTCATGTACTACAAAAACTCTCTGACAGTCTGTGAGCAATATACTACATTTAAACCTTTTTAGAGTCTTAGAACATACTGATACAAATCTTTATTCTATATTAATGAATTACCTTTTCTACGTCGTGCGATGCTTCGAAATCCATCAATGCGCATAGCGGAACGGGGCTGATGTTTTCTGGGGGGGGGGGCAGTTGAAAGTTTGCCCGAATTTTTATGGAGAATTGTAAAGAAATAACCTGATTTTAACATATTTTCTCATAAATCTGCTCGAATTTTCTTGATTTTTCCTAGCGTTTGCCCGAATTTCCATGGTTTTCCAAAATTTTGGGGGGCAGTTGCCTCCCCCCCCCTGTCTCGTACACCTATGTCAATAAGGCATTTACAACATGAACATAATACGAAGCCAAAGTGAAAGTGTGAAAGTGAAAGAAACTTTAAAGAAAGCGTGCTAATTCTCGTATTTTACTCGTATGTACTCGTATTTTACTCATATGTACTCGTATGTACTCGTATGTTACTCGTATGTACTCGTGTGGTGTTTTAGTCACGATCCTGTTAATGTCGTATTTGTCGATTTCAAGTCACTTTTCAATGCGCGGTTCCCAAGTTCGCTGCGAACTTGCAAATTACGTTTCCAACTTCCAAGTTTGAGAATGAGCGAGAACGTCGCAACAAAGTTCGCAAGTTCATTTCCATGTTTCAACTTCGTTTGTAAACAAATGTTCATGCTCGATAATAACCAATTCAATGAAATACCAACCTTCTTAGTAGCGCACTGGACCAAGAACATGCCATTGAATTGTTACTTCAACTTGAACCATGAATATTTGTTTACAATAGTTCAAACACTGAAATGTAACTTGCAAACTTTGTTCCGAAGTTCACGCCCAATTTTGAACTTGGAAACGTATTACTTGGGCACCGCGCGTTGAAAAGTGACTTGAAATCGACAATAACAATTAATATGTCAAAAACGTTCGCACTTCGCAAGTATCCTGTAAATGTCTAAATGGTAGTGTTTACTTTACAGAATACAGTGTTATCTGATTTTACTGTAATCTGATTGTAATGTAACTTGAACCTAAAAGTCCTAAAATAAATTATGAACAAAAAAATTTCCTGCGAGATACAAAAATATTTCCTGCGACCAATTTTTGCGAAAAATTTCCTGGCAGCGGCGCTGCCGGACATTTTCCAGCCCTGGGTACGAAACAACCAGAGCTTGGGTAAGAAACGTATGAAATGACCATTCATTCGAGTACATGATGGGAGTTTGAAACAACCTGAAACCTGTACCACTCCCTCCCCCCAGACATTGACAGGTGTATAATTGTTGTTTCTGAAACAGGGCTTGAATTTTATCGCGGCAATTGCCGTAGAGGGAGAACAAAATGCTGTGGATCATTGTGGCAACGACGGCAATTTTTTGCCGTATAGTATATTTTTTTATACTATTCACTGTGCATTACTATTTTCATACTTGAATTACTCACTAAAGGGGCCTCGTCCATATTCATGTTGCCACAAACAATGTCAATTCAATGTTATGAGTGGTAGGGTTTTTTATGTGAACTTGTCGACATTATCTCATGGCAATTTGACAATTAATGTCCAGAGTGACCATCCCAGTATCCGAATATTGTATATTATTCAAATATTGTATCAAAATACAATCCCAGCCAATGACGGTGATAAACAACAATAATTGTGAGTTTAAAATACAGGTACTAGTAAATATCGATCAACGTTATCTGGGGTGGGTGGGTGGTGAAATAATAATGTCGATTTGACTTTATTTGTGGCAACATGAATATGGAAATGCCCCCCTAATAAGATTAACAATTTTATTTAAAATGTCACACTGTACCTCAGTATAAACCTTAGTACACATGGAGTAACCTGCAAGCCTTTCCAGTTTCTTTTGTCTTGGTAAGCCTTTCGATTGACTCTTCCTGTTGCTTATTCGAGCCAAATGCATAGGTCTTGTCAACTCGGAGGGGCTGGATGCAGAACTAGACGCCTTCTTCGTTCCGCTACTCGCATCACGGTTGTTGCTAGATGGCCCAGGAGAGTCCGCCATCTTGGATTTTGCTCGACTTCCGATCGACAATTTGTCAACGTTTATATCACCTCTGTCGCTGTTTTGTAACGAATAAAACACCTCTATAATTGCACGGAATCATTATTGCACGTTTGGTAGCGAAATACAGCGACGTTTATGTAAGAAAACCGTTATTTCCCCCCCAAAATCTTAGAATCTGTGATTTTATTCTTTGAAGCCTCGTTTTCAGCCAAAAATGCACATGTCTGTACGACGATCAGCGGCTACGTGCTTGTTAATCGTTATCGTCTAGCACTTCGTGGAATTCAAAGATGGCGACCAAAACAAAATCTGTTTTATTTATCTGTCTTGGGAATATATGCCGTTCGCCAATGGCAGAGTTTGTCTTTAAAGATATGGTGAAGAACTCGGGCCAGTCGGCTTCTTGGAGAATAGATAGCGCCGGTTTTGTGGACTGGAATGAGGGAAACAGCCCTGAAGAATTGGTTGAAATTGTTTTGTTAGAGAATTCCATACCAGTTGGCAAACACCGTGCAAGAAAAATCCAAAAGAGTGATTTTAATGACTTCGATTACATACTTTCGATGGATGAGGCCGTGATGGATAAGCTGGATAAGCAAAAACCAAAGGAAAGCAGAGCAAAACTTGAGTTGCTACGCCGGTATGATCCTGCACAAGAAATTTTCAAAGATCCGTATTGCGGAAGCAAGGCTGATTTTGAAAAAGTTTTGAGACAATGCAAACTTTGCTTAACTAATTTCCTGAAAGCAGTTGACAAGAATTAATGCACAATTTTAATGTTAAACTTTTGGCTTTAAAGAGTCGGTCATTTCAAGTCCGTTCAGCGGATGTGCCATTGCAGAGTTTGTTTACATTTTGAAGACACTATATTCATAAAATATAATGCACTTAGTTAAAACTGTGCTTTGAAATGAATATAGATTGGAATTTCAATTTAGAATATGTCGAAATAACGCAAAATGTTGGTATAGACCCATTGCACTGATGTCACAAATCCTTAGAGTGTCCTCCAGATGCTCCCTAACAATAGTGAGCTTAAGATCCACGACGCGAGCGGCTCAACAACGCGGTCTGAATTTCAGCTCAAGAATGAGCGTTAGGCAATTTCATTACTGTAATTAATGTTTGAAGATTTTTCAAATAACATTACGAACTGCTAAGTTTGACTCAAGCGATGCAATGTTTGCTGTAATTTTGACTTTAAGTAACACCTCTTGGGTCGCAATAAGCTTTCACGTTGCTTCAAAGACGTGATAATGCTTAGTTTAACGTTGTGCTGAGCATGACCAAGCTGTTGAGAATACCCCTGGGACCACAAGTTATTCACAGTTTTTCTCTTGCATGAAAAATTTCTTTCTTTCGCAAGCGCGTCGTTGAGCCGGCCGTCGTAGATCTTAAATTCGCTAATATCTGTTCGGGTATAACAACCACATACAGCGCAAAAATTAACCATTTTAATACAAAATTATTATAAAGTTTTACAAAATTTGCTTTGATTACGAAAGTTATATTATGCACAGATTGCTAATTTGTCCCTGGGTCTGTTTTTCACCCCCAGAAGGTTCTCGCATAGCACATGCGCAGAACAGACTTGATCTAATCTTTAATCAGCAGGACTTGAACCAGGGCTTGAATTTTATCGCGGCAATTGCCGTAGAGGGAAAACAAAATGCTGTGGATCATTGCGGCAACGACGGCAATTTTTTGCCGAAAACTATAATTTTTATTCTATTCACTAAATTACTATAATACTATATTAACACTAAAATTAAATGTTTGTTATAGTAATTTGAAAAAATGCTGTGTAAACTGTCAAAATTATCGTAGACAGCTGTTACGTTCTACGCAATTTTTAGCGCCATCGCCGTCGATTTATTTCAGGGAAATTCGAGGCCTGTCTTGAACGTACAATAACCGGCAGAATTGAATGCTGACCCGGTCACTTTTTGACTGGCCGCATTTTCACGTCTTCTGCTAGAATTGGAAATCGTTTTTTATCCTCAGCATATCTGCTGAAATATTGTCAGAGAAATTAGAGAAAGACTGTTTATTTCATGGCGAGTACGCAATTATACCACAAGAACGTCAATTTACGTACAACAAAAACATTGTGATTGTATGCAGCTATTTCAATTAAGGTTGTCCACAAGCAAAGCGGAAAAGTCGAATACGAGCGTGAAAGGCTGCTGGGAACCGCTTTGAAAATTAATGAATTTGTTAGTAATTCCCAGCAGCCTTTCGCGCTCGTATTTGACTTTTCCGCTTTGCTCGTGGACAACCTTAACTGAAATAGCTGTATGTCCAGGGACGTCGCGAAGGCATCAACATTGGGGGGGGGGGGGGGGG